TTCTGCTAAGGCAGCGATTGTTGGCCTGGATACCTTGTCCACGTGCAGGCCGTTTCCCGTTGCTTTCGCGGACTCCGGATCGATCGAAGGCCGATTCTGAACAGTCACGTTAGATGAGTTCTGGTTAACTACCAGCATAGCTCTTGGATCGCGGCGAATTTCTGCGTTCGCCATAGTGCGGTTGGCCAGCATTTTAGTTACTGTCGATATGTATCTCTTAGGCATACCGTCAAGCGACACATAGCTGTCCGCTGCTGACTCAGAGCTAGTCGAAGATAATCGAACCTTCTCTTTGCTGTTCTGTTGCTCAAACTTCTGTTTTAGTCCATTTACACCAGGAAGGAATCTGTGAGCATTCTGAGAATGCCCATTCGTCATACAGTCATTGTCAGAAACAGAACTTTTCCCCAATCTTAAGTACGCTGCAGTTTTAGAAAATTTTGGTATTGACTGTTTTTCGGGTAAGCTACAACAATTATCTTTAGGCTGTCCGTTTTGTAAAGATGAGTTTTTGACGTATTCCCCACCTCTGACTTGTGAAACAAACGGTCGAGGACAGGCATTAATGTATTCTACATTCACGGCTTTTACAGTCCCCTGCGACGAATGTGTGTCCTTTGGCTTTTGCCCTGAACTCTCAGTATCCTGGAAATAGCCGTTGGGCGTATTTCCGGAAGTAACATGCAAAGGACTTAGCACGCGCAGCGATCCATCGATGATTTTCTTATTGCCAGTCTGCACTTCCTCCACAGTAGGTGAAGAATCGATATTTGTGTACGGCATTTCGTCATTTTCGGATAAATACTTGGACGGTTTTCTTAGAAACATATTCCTGTTAAAAGCTGGCTTACGCGATACACAGCCGATAGGCGATAGACCATTCTGAAGTATGTTTGCACTGTTACTGACAACCGGTGCATCTGCAGATTTAGTTGTATTGGCAGTCGAGCGACCCACGACGTCGGCTTGCACTATTCCCAGCGATGAATCATGTCCGTTTAGTCCGTTAGCCATTGAATCGAAGGGAACAGCAGTCTTCGAAATTTTGCCGGCGCGAACCGCTGCGACCGAAGCTTCTTTTCTCAAGCCTGGTTTGGTGACAACGTCGTTTGAGACCACGCTTTTCTCCGCAGAGATCAGCTTCCCGAAGCGGGTGGCCAGAATCTTAGAAGACTGCAGTTCTTCCGCAATCAAACGATTGTTCAACGCTATTTCTGACTGATTGACTGTGCAGCCCTCTGTCCTTTCGGAACTTTTCATCGGCACTTCACTTGTCCCCGTCTGCGTCTTTTTGCTAAGCAACGGAAATTTTACTTCCTTCGATCGGTAATACTGAGAGGCCTTGTTTTTCGGTGCCATTTCGCAGGCTTCCGGCGACTGTTGTTTAGGATGCTCAGAAACAATCCTCAAAGTTTGCGGATCGAACACACTCTTTTCTTTGACCTCTATGTGACGCAGCTTCGTGCCCTGGCGAATATCATTTAGTAGTGCTTCCCTGTCGAATTTTGGAGGTGACGAAGTATTGGAACAGGCTGCACCGAACGCTCTGTTTGAACTGTAAACAGATTGTACTACCGCGCCTGGTGGTTGTGGCGGAAGCGGCGGCGGCGGCGGAGGCGGCGAACCCATGGGCGATGCTTTAGGTTTTGCTGCAAACGGTGGCTGAGGTGGAGCCGGTGGAGGAGGTGCGTTTATTTTACGAATATTTTCACCATCTGCTTTTAAAACAGGATGGCTTTTATCGATCGTCTTCGTTGCCTTCAACGCAACTCCAGCACGAATTTCCTCAAGAAGTGCACTGCGGTTTAGCATCTTTCTAAAACAGAAACTTTCAACATCAAGTCAGTAAGACGAATCGTAATGAATCGCAACCTTTTGAAATATCACGATATTTCATTATCATCGCGATGGGTAATGAGTGAATTTGTCAAAATTACCAAAACTACGACACTACGACTTAAACTCAGAGACTGGCTAGCTTAGCTACAGCTGCATTGAATATGCAAGAAGACAGAAAGAAAGAACGACTCTGGCACAGTGACAAATTACGGGGGGTCCGTACTATCTGCAAGTGAGAATAGTTCATTACAGTAAGTACTTGGAAGAAAAGAGTCAGTTGAGTTCGATCTCTCCAAATTTAGATGGCTAGAATAGAGCAAGATCAAAATTTACTGACAGAACAATTCAACTGATCGAATTTGCAGAGCTTCCAATTTCGACCAGAGAGTGAACGAAATTCTGACATATGTCTGAACCGTACTGTGACGGTATCACCGCCAAAATAACAGTACATCTTGAAATTTTAAACAGTTTCCTACCCGCAGATATGAAACCTGTCTTTGCAAATAAACCTATTCAGTTCCATCCGCCTTTGATATCTTAATCGTTAATAATGGTAACTATTTTAACGGTAACGCCTGTTCTAAATCTATCCACAACAACAAGCACTGAAGCTCAGTTCTCCGAGCAGCAATAACGAGTACAAGATATAGCTTCCGTCAAAATTGGGTGATTTTTCTAATATTGTGATGACTAACTACGGCACAGAATAATTATATAAGAAATAATTTAAACGATATCTACTTTAAGTGTTACAGTGTACCACATTTCGACAAAACCATGTAAATAATACATTATGATTAAACTAACCACCAAGTTAAAAACAATCAAATACGCGGCAACGTTAGAAAAGTAACAACGCGTCCGTTTCTTCAACAATAAATTTTCAAACATTGTGTATCTTCTGTCCATTACCGTAAACTGTCGCATGGCGTCCGATCACATTCTTAAGCAAATGTACAATTAAGGCCAACGCTGGCGCAACCGGTATTGTCAATATGTCAGAGTAGAATATTTGAATATCTTAATAAGTTGCGAACCGCATATTTCTTTATCATAAAACACCTGGTACCTCGAAAGGCTACAATTGATCGAAGGGACTGTTTATGCGGCAACATATGTTTGACTACTTAAGTTGTAGCTTGCTGAGAAGTATGGGCTGAACATCGAATCATTCACATCATTGCAAATCAATCGTAGATGATAATCTAGCACAGGCGTTACCATGGGTTCTAAACAGAAAAACCATGTATTGCAGGAGATGGTACCATTTGAATCCAACATTACTACGCTTACAATCAGTCTAAGTCTTTTATTCATTGCATAGATGATATGATAAAATGCAAACTGCTGCATCAAACGTACTTATTATAACAGGTTGGTAGAATATTCTTCTAGATAATTTCGACTTAAAGGCAAGAGATGATGTTACACATTCCGACTATCATAATATCGAAAACGGCTGTTTCAGGTGCATATTAACCTTCCCTTGCGTTGCTCATTAAGAGCTTTCTAGATTATGCTCACTGCTATGGTATTCACATAACTTAAAAAATCGAAAGAATTAACTGAATGTGTGAAACTGGTGAAACTGCCTAGAGATTCAGAATTAATATGATACGCGGCTTGTGTTGTTTTGGCTTTCAAATGGGGCCGCCCCGCTATTTCCGGCAATCGGAGAAAAAGACGCATATGGTAAACACTCATCCTCCGTTTGTTCCTCACTTTGTCGCTATGTAACTCAATCATTTTCAACGCAAGTAACTTTTTAATTATGAGAGGTTGCTGCTTTAGAAAGTTTCCTTAGCTGCTCCAGTCCTCTGTCTACAGACAAGCTCCATGATCTAGATGCAAGAGCAGACAGAGCCAATTCCTCTATATAATCGAGCTATCCGGTGTTCGGTCTAACTCTAGATGCTCAAGTCATCGCAACTGAGATTTCTCGATTTGGAGAAGGAATGACTCATAAACAAGGGTATCTCTAATTAACGCGTTTTGAATTTTGGCGAGTCACATCGCAATCGTCACGCCAGCACTTCTTCGAATCAAATGCAATCCTTGTGTATAATTAAACTGTTTTGTGCTATATTTCAACGTAGCTAACAATACGTACAAAATTGTATAAGGTGGCACAGTCATTCGAAACCCATCATTTCATCGCCGCTATCAACAACATTAGCCACATATGCTAATCCGGCAATACTTGGCTGCAACGGCACCATTCATAAGCAATTACCATTTATGAAAGTCGCAGACGAGTAATAAAGTAAATCTGAAAGAACAACATCAGCATGCACTAATCACGATCCATCTTCGTCCATTCTAACGTCCATAAGTTTTCGGCCAACTGAAAAAGTAGTCAGATAATAGTACCGTTTCAGAAACGGTAGCTGAATTCAAAAAAGTATCGCGTGAACAACTGAACGACTGATGAACTCCGTTAAGACATCCGAGTTGAGGCCAGAGCAGAACTGGGGTAGTCTCGTTACGCATGCAATAGGCTATGTGTAGAAAATATCAGAAATGTCGTTGTATTCACGATCGTGGAATAGTATATTGCAATTACAAATGTACGCAAATTTAGGTTGCGCCTTAAGAATGAAAGATCACTCTCAGCCGTGCCAGTAGTCACACTGCCATAATAATTGATATCGCTGTGTATAAACATCATACCGTTGTGTCGCTTGAACTATGGCATAAGTTTCTTACAATAACTTGTTACTGTAGAAATTTCCCGCTGAAATGGAAACAACGATTTGGCGTTTGGTGGATTTTAGTCATAGCCAGAGATCAGCACTGTAGGGGTACAGTCGAATACTTATATTCGCGGTGAAAATGAAAAATCCTGTGCATTGACTTTATGAATTTATTAGTGGATACACAAAAGAATTGAGGCAAATTGTTCACATATACATCGGAATAGGTTCCCTCAAGCGATTTTCTCAATTATCCACATCTAACAGACTCCTTAGCATTGGATGCATTAACTTTAAAGACACTGGCGCCAGTATACAAAATCGTTTACATTTGGATGTGTTCTTGGCTAGAACCAAATTGTGAAACAGATTCGTACCATTTACCAACGGAAATACTTCCTTTGCATTTCTTAATTCAAACTGAGGTCTCCCATAAATGTAGAGCGAATTCGACTGGAAGCAACTAGTACGGTCCTTCGACTAACAATCGAGTAACGGCAAAATTAGCAACATTGCATGATCGCATTTGTTATTATTATTAATCTCATACAACCACAGGAAGAGTCGATCTTATGTTAACACCCTACTAAGAGCTCCGGCGTCACCATTCAAGAAGTGGATTGGGTGACGATGAACTACGAGAAACTGGAACAGCGTAAACCCTTGACCTGGTCATGCCAAGATATACGTAACGTGTGGTTATTCCGTTCACACGCTGCGTTTTGACCCGCCATGCGGCTGACCTTTTGCTTGAAGGACAGATGCGTGGACCTAATAAAATAATACATGTATATTACGTGGATACATACTAAAGCTCTCATTTCTGCAGGGGTAGACAGCACGAGATAGCAAACTTATTTTTATTTTCTGGGATAATTACTGACAATAATCGCTGATCTTCGATCTATTTGAATTTATAAACTTATTAAGATTTGCGTTCAGAGGATAAAAGGATCTGTTAGTTTCACTTTACCAGTGTCCCACTATAAGGCGCTCTCTAAGGATCATGACAAGACTCCGCTGCCAAACATCATTCTTTGCCATGTTTTGTACATTACGTTGGCGTGTGCTCTTTCGCCACCACTTGGAAGCAGTAGTGGCATTTATAAAGATAAAACAGCAACAGAGCCGATTCCCTCTTCCAGGTTCACTTGTTCGTGCGCCATCACCTACTGTTGTTCCACATTCAGTATGTGTCAAGACATTAACAAGTCAACCGTCTGCTTTCTATGGTGAAAAGTCAAATTGGCGCACAATGGAGGACGGCACATTCACAACTAGATCGTAGCTACAAGCTCATTCTGGCTCCCGTCATCCTGTCTCATCTCGACTACCGTTGCCACTGCAATAACCGATGTACCTCTGCAACTCAATGTCGAAACATGATGCGAAACGGTATGGCTCGACTAGCGCGAAACAACGCTCTGCCTACGGTATACACTTCGAAACAATGCAGGCAACGAAAGAAGTTTGCAATAACTTTGTTGTTTTCGTGCAAACAATGAATAATCGCTCAGATAGCCGCTGGACACAAATTGGCACTTATTCAGACATCGCTTGCGGGCATCAGTTGTCAGCGGTGACGGCTGCGAATCGGTGTATCGGTCGACCCGAAAACACACAGTCCGCATTCAACGGACGCACTTACGGCCACATCCATTGAAACGGAATGCCGCTGTGAACGATCCTGGTCAGTCGAAAACCCAGTGGTGTCGATTTAACCGATACTACCTCAACAGTAAGAATCCATTACACAAATCGTTGGAATCGTCGTTTTAATTGGATTCCTCACCTCGATGATCGCGCAATCAAAAGGGTCGCTCTACGTTCAGAAACCTCCTGCGCTATTATAGGCACAAACGACGTCGTCACACTTCTGGACGTCGAGAAGTGCGTGTATCATTTTTGGGCAACTTAAGTCAAACAATATCTAATATGATAATAGCAAGGCCCTCAATGGATATTAAGTTCTGTGCCATTTAGAGCAACGAACAAATTTTTGCCATTCCACTTCCTATTCTCTATTATTAGATTTCATTCCATGCCTTGTTCCGTATGTTCAGCTAACGACTACCTCACACAATGATCACGGTAGAAGGCTCTATTCATCATTCTTCAGATTTCAAGTTCTTCCTCGCTAATTCATCGTAATCAACTCACTGAGAATGGTTCATCAACCTCAAACTCTGACTTAAAATCTATTCTCTACCGTCGTCCGATTATCCACTGTTAGCCACTGTGATCTTAACGATAAGTAAATTCCACTGATACAGTTGT